ATATGATTGCTCAGAGCTCCAGTATGAAACTGGATAGGCCTGTTGAGAGTCTCTGGGTTAGGTTCAGAGGGGAGAGCAACAAGGGCGATGTTGTAGTCGGTGTCTGCTATAGACTACTAGTCCGAGAGAAGGTGTTGGATGAGGCTTTCTTCAAACAGCTAACGCAGGTTTCCCAATCACAGGCCCTGATTCTCATGGGGGATTTCAATCAGCTTGAAATCTTCTGGAAGGGCAGTACAGCAGTGCACAGACTGGAGGGTGTTGGGGACAACTTCCTGGTGCAAGTGTTGGAGGGACTGACTAGGGGTTGTGATCTTCTTGACCCGCTGTTCGCAAACAGGGATGAATTGATGGGGAATATAGTAGTGGATGGCAAATTGAGCAGCAGGGACCACAAGATGATTGAGTTCAGGATACTGAGGAAAGGAAGGATGGTGAGCAGCAGAGTAAAGATCCTGGACTTCAGAAAAGCAGACTTTGACTCTCTCATGGAACTCATGGGCAGGATCCCCTGGGAACCCAGTCTGAGGGGGGAGAGGAGTCTAGTGGATCTGGCTGTACTTCAGAAAAGTCTTACTGAGAGTACAGAAACAAGCCATCCCAGTGCGTAGGAAGACTTGCAAATACAGCAAGACCAACTTGGCTTAACAGGGAACTCTTCAGTAAATCATATCACAAAAAGGAGCCTATAAGAAGTGGAAACTTGGACAAATAACTAGGGAGGAGTATAAGAGCATTGCTTGGGCATACATGGATGAAGTCAGGAAGGCCAAAGCGCAGTTGGAGTTGCAGCTAGCAAGTTGATATCAGCCAAGGAAATATTTTATTGATGTACCCCCACTAAGAATGCTGTACTTGAGAGACTTGGTCCTTTTGCTTAAACACTTGATTATGATGATCCTTTCTCTGCTGCCACACCCTCCCCCTCCCCACTCCTCCCCAAAGGAACTCAAACCCATGTCTTCTAGATTTATAACACATTAAACTGGACAGACAGCAGAATGAGTTTGACTTGTTAGCTGTTTGTTTGGGGTATATGGTAGAAGTAATGACTTCATCCAGATACTCATTTTAAATCTCTCTTCCTATGCGGAATATTGAAGTAGTAAACCTACTCTTTGAGAGACAGACTCTGGAAGAGTCTGCTAGGTTTATCTGGCTGGAGAGCTGTGGCCTTTTCAGTCAAAAGGCATAAACATTTTCATTGTTAAATTCTCTCCCTAGGGAATAATGGAAAAGATTAGAAAACTTGTCCACTGTGAGAGGTCACTTACCCCCTCCCATCCTGAGTTCTGATACACATAGAAGCTGCCGAGCACTTTAATTACTGTTTCTGGAAGCAAATATATTAGTCACCAGTTTATCAAGTAGACTTACAAGGAGCAAAATATTTCTGGGTAAAGGAGCCACTCTGCTAATGGAAGGCTTTGTGTTGCTTCCTCCTTCAGTTGGTCATGCATACGTAAGATAAGAAACTTTTCTTGCCTAATACAGGAAAATTTTTCCCTGGGGTAAGACTGGTTGTGTTCTTCCCAATTTTTATGAAAACTTCATCAAAAGTGTTGACTTGTCAGGATCAGGTTAGCTTATTATCCACAGAAGGAAAAGAACTCTGAAACTTCAGCAAATCATTTTGTTTCAGCTGTGGATACAATGCTTCCTCTTTCTGGTACCCATTCTCTGAATGGCTTTGGAAAGATCTTTTTGGGGGGAATGGGAGGGATAATAGAAGTAAAATTTGGAATTTTTCTCAGAAAAACTCTCTTCCTGCTGCGGAGCTTTTCTAAAATTTGATTGAGCCTCGCAGCTATTTTGAGTGTAAAGAAATGGAGGGAACTTCAGGAGGTGGGACATTTACCTGTTACCCCTGACTGGTTCTGGCCCCAAGTTGCAAACCATTTGAAGTAGTCTTTGTAATAGATTCATGGGTCTCCACAGAAAGAGCAGTATATTTCTGTGTGTTACTACACAGAGGCTCTGTATGTGTGTGCGCTTGCACATGTGCACTCAACGAAGCAATTGTGTTTTTGCAAACAAGAAGGGAGCCAAAAATACAAAGGTGGAAGGTGGCAGGCACTAACATTCCTAAACACTTGCCCAGATTTTTCTCTCCATGTCTTTCCCATGAACAGGTTTTTCCTCTTTGGAGTAAGAATTGAGCATCTGGAGAATGTTAAATGGTTGTTCCCTGAGCCTTTGGGGGATATCAGTTCAGACTCCCATCATTTGTAGGTTTAAAGCATTCAGAGAAGTAATCGGTGATTAAGGCTGGATACACATGTTCAAACGGTCAGGGAAAATTCTTCTAGGTTTGTTCTCCAGGTAGAAAAATTTAATGTGGAGATGCCTGAACAGAACAAACAAAGCTGAGCCCTTGAAGAGAAGACCACTTGTAGGGCTGATGCTCCACACATCTTAGTATCCTCTGAAGACTCCCTCAATCTGCTTGGAGACAAATGGCAGCAGTATACTGTGCACCTCCGATTTGCTGACCCAGGCTGCTCAGAATCAGCCTGTACCTCCCTGCAGTACAATGTGGGATTGTGACAAAGGCATGTTTTGCTCCCTGCTTGGCTTGGAGTCTAGTGACTGATATGCCCCACCTGGGAGAAGGGTGGGAACAAAGCACCCTGGGATACAGAAAGACTGCTGTGGTTTCTCTCGAAAAAGAATGTGTACAGACATTTGCTTTCTCAGGAGAAATGCTCCCTGGTTGTTCCTGGGTTATTTTTCTCTTGGAGCAGCCATTTTTTGCTTTGAGAAAAACATGCTGAACATCTGTACCCTCATAGTTTTCTTCTGGGAGAGCCATACTCCAGGGAGAAACTGAATATCTCTACATGGCCTAAATCAGTGTTCAAACATCAGATCCTCTCAGCTGTTTTTTTTGAAAGGGAGACTCCTATTCAGGCTAAAGCTTTAGAGAACAGACGGAAACGTGGCCTGCTTTAGTACTCCACAAAATGGCCATTTGTCCCAGGTCTCCAGGCACAGGTTTTAGGATGCTGAATTCCATGAGCTGGGGAAGTAACCACAGTTCATCTGGAATGGAGGCTTAAAGTCTTCATCTTTATTTAGGCAGGCAAGGTTCTTTGAGTAGATGTGATATCTTTTATTAGACCAACTGATTAGTTGGAAAAAAGTTCTTAGCAAGCTTTCGGGTGCAGTCTCCCTTTGTCTCTCTTGGCATTCAAAGAGAAAAACCCTAAGAATATAGACATCACTGCTTTATTTAAGCAGTCATGTAGACACATTGGTCAGCTGTGTCTACATTATTTTTATTATTATTATTATTGTAGTCTTTTCTTTAAACAATTCTAAACTTTAAATTGAAAGTAACTATCCTTCTGCCTAAATCAGGTAGAAATATTTTTGGTCTAACATTGTACATTGAAATGGCCCTAAAGAAACTTCAGCTTTGTTGTCTGAGCTGTACAGTGAGGATAGAAGTAGTAAAAGAGTCTCTCTCTCTCATTTTTTTTTTTTTTCAAGGGGAGAAAGGTTCTATTTAAGATGGCTTGCTTCAGAGCATTGAAGGCAGTACACTGGGCAGATAAAACCCATTACACTGGAAGGCTAGGTAGGATCACCACTACTACAATTAAGGGATCTATCTGATATTCATATTCTCTGATGTTGGTAGTTGTTAGTTAATGCCCCACCATCAGCTAATGTAAAGTTCCAGAAGAGAAATGCTGATCATTTTGAGCAGTGCTGAGCATCTGGTCTGACTCATGAAGTTAACAGAGGAATATTTTTTGTTTGTTTTACCAGTCTAGATCCCTTTTCTCAAATTAGCATGGTCTTTGAGATGTTTTGTTTTAAAAGAAAAAAAAATGGCAACTTCTCTCACCATCTTAAAGTGAAATTCAAATCTCACACCTTACAAAATAACACAGAGAACTCCATTCAGAGATTCAGTTGAGCTCTGCAAGCTGATGAGCCTTGCATGTGAAGCACATGATGCCGCTGAAAAATCCTAACGTTTGGCTTCTATTTTCTGTCAGGGAAGAACTATATACTCCCATCTGTCTGGACTAATATAGAAGATCTCGTGCCCGTGTCTGCAGGGGGTGGAAATGACTTGACTTAACTGAGGGAAGCTTCTCTGTTGCTTGTTTAAACTTCTGATTTTTAGATAACGTTAATATAGTTAATTTCTTGTGAGTATCATCCATCCTGTTCCCAATTCTATATTCTACCTCCACAATCATTTGCAATCTTCTAATATTTCTCAAAAGCAATTGGCTACTTGGCAGTGTAATATAGTATTGTATTTAGTGTACTCTGTAGTAGCTGGGAAAAGTCTTGCACTTGCTCTTTGTAATCAAGTAGTGATCCATAATTGGGAGCCTTATGTCTTTGTTTAAATGGAAGAGAGATTTTCAGGGAATGGGCGATGGCCGAAAAAACATATGGTAGCAGAAACCTTTCAGGGTTTTGAAGGAAACCTTTGCAATGGGATAATAATAATTGAATTAAAATATTTTCATAAAAATGTTGTGATAAACTAATCAAATCTTTCTAGGTTTCCTTTTTAGACACTTCCATACCATAAAGACTGGCCAAACTTATGATAGGAAACTGTAGAGGGATTGCTTCAAAAGAAAGTCTGAGGATACTGGTCTAGTGCATGAATAAAGCTCTCTATCTGCTCTTTATCTCTTCAGTTGTTCCAAAGACCGAATGCGCTTGCTGTTCAGCAGCTGACAGCAGCACAGCAGCAACAATATGCATTGGCAGCTGCCCATCAGCCACACATAGGTAAGTCTTTCATTTAATGATCTGTCTTTATTGGATTTCTCTTGAGTGATGGCTGATACTTGCTGCTGACTATCTTTGAAATATCCCGGGGGTGGGGGTTGGCTAGGCTTTTTCAAATGTAACTGTGGTTTTTCTAATATGTGGGTGCTAGACATGTATTTTAGAAACAGACTATGTTTAAAGATTATTTTGCAAAATTTTGGTAATGCCTTATTGCATACTTTACAACATTCATGTCTGGCAGTGATGACACACTTGCCCTCACTGAGAACACAGTTCAATAATGAGAATGTTTCTTAAGTACTCATTTATTCTGAGCCAGACATAAATTGGGGTAACCAGGACATTGAAGTGAGAACATGGATTTTCAGTATAGACCTTAAACTCTGGTCTGAATTTTACATCTTACTGTAGTTTAGCTTTGCAATCCATTTTTATGTCTTCTCACAGGATGGAATTTCAAGTTGTTCAGGGTATAAACGTTTAAAATGCCTCTATTCAAATGTGTTGGTATTCACAGTATTCAAGAAAGATTGACTAGTGGAGTACTGCATTTAGTCTTGTATATTTGGGGGGAAATAGATGAGCTGCAGAAGGCTTGCTCATTGATGACAGTAAAATCTTTTAGTTGAGACAAATGTTTTATTTCTGTTTGTCAACCAATCAAATTAGAGCTGGAGTAATGTTGTAGCCTTGATGGTCCAGGTAATGTGAGCAGCAGGTACCTTTCAGGGCACTTCTACCCAAAAGATTATTTATATCTGTGCCAAATATACAATTGGTCCAATAGAAGATACCACCCACAAAAATCCTTGCCACTAACAAAATCCATTAACTATTCCAAGCCGTGTATGTTGCCCTTCATCTCTAGATCAGGTGGGCCTCTCCCCTTACTTGATGCCATTTTATGAAAGTACTTTTAATGTCTCAAGTGCCTTGAGATTCTTTGTCAAACTGGGTCATTTGACCTGCAGCAGAAAACTGGACTAACTAACCCTTGGAGCAGCTGTTGTGTTGCCCGATCCTAGAGCGATAGCATACTGCATACATACAGGGACACAAGGGAATTAAATCAATGCAAATTTGACCCTGAAGCAGGGCTAAAGTTGGAGTTTTGTTATATCTGTTACAGGTTTATGTACACATAATGATTACAGCTTTCCTGCTGCACCCTCCCAAGCACTCAAACAGCATTCTCCCCTGCTCCCTTTTGAAGCCAAAGTGTTGTCTGCCCTATAATCACAGAAGTGACTGCAGTGTAGTGTCTGGTATTCAAGCTGGTACTAAGATAGATAGTTATCTTGGGTTTAGGTAGTAATCTAGCCAAGGCAGCATGGAAACCAGCACTAGCTAGTTCACCTTGCTTTCCTGGCTACGTTTCTGCAGTGTGCTCTTAGTTTAAAGGTAAGCATCAATACTACCGAATAAAAATTAACTGAAATTTTTCTACTATTTTTTTTTCTAGCCTTTTTTTTCCCTTTAGGGGTGCCATGTTTTGAAATCAAGATCCGTTTGCCTATATATCATACCTTTCCAACCAATTTCACATTAGGTTGTTTAAATAAGACTGAAAACTTTAATGCCCATTGTCTGTAGCCTCCAGAGAACTGCATGTGAAAATGTATATAATTTGTCATCTGAAAGTGGCTGCCAACTTTTCTTACTCTTAAATCAGAGCCCTTCAAACCTATTTATGCTGTTCACTTATAGCAAGATGGTTAGCCAAACTGTTTTAGGTATTCTGGTAGGGCTGCAGTTCTAGTCAAGTTTGTTTTTACTGACAGGTATGTTTTCAGCAGGTTTAGCTCCTGCTGCCTTTGTTCCCAATCCATACATCATCAGTGCTGCTCCCCCAGGAACAGATCCATATGCCGCAGGACTTGCAGCAGCTGCAACATTAGGTGAGACACTTTCATTTGTTCATTGGATAACTCCTCTTTTTATGCCTAAAATGTTTTACATGCCAAAGTTGGTGCAGACTTGATTTAATCCTTTAACTGTGTATCGGTATAGCCTGGGAAAACTATTATAAACCTTATAACAGAATTTTTGTTTGCATTTTAAACCCTTATCCCTAGAGACTAAATCCTCTAATTAGGTATAAGTCTCAGTGTGGGTTATGCAGTTGAGAACAACTACAAAAAAATCCTAATGAACAACAGGTAAAGTTTTGCTGTTGGAATGTACTGTATTTTCTCGCACTTATCCTGCATGGTTTTCCCCAAAACCTGTTAGGGGAAAATTGGGGTGCATGTTATATGAGGAAAAGGGAACCTCAGAGGTCCAGAAACTTGGTTGGAGAGGAGTGGGGAGGATGGAGTGGTAGCATAGTTCAGTTGCCACAACTGGGAGCTGTGGCAATTATGCTGTTGCTGCTCTACTCCTTTCCTCCTGCCACTCACTGGCAAATTTCCAGACCTGTGAGCAGCAGCCCCGTGCATGCTGACTCTGGATCCATGTTCTGGGGTGGACGTGTGTGCCAAGCGTGGGACTGCACGTTGGCTCCGAGGCCGCATGCCAGATTAGATCTGGCACATGGCTTCAGAGCCAGGGTGCAGACGAAGATGTGGTGTGCAACTCCAGAACCAGCATGCAGGGTTGGACTTGGTACATGGATCTGGAGCCAGCAGGCAGTGAGCAAAGTCTGGGACTGAGTTGTACCCAGCACCCAGTGAGACTCTGTTCCCCTTGCGTCCAATCAGTCCATGGCTCCCATCCACCATATAGGGCTAGCAGCAGGTTTGGGAGCAGGTTCAGCTCCCTAGCTGCTGCCTCTTGCATACCTCAGTTGAAGATTCCCTCCCCATCCCTTTCAGGCTCCCCCTTAAAATTCAGTGTGTGTACTATATAAGGGGGTGTGTGAGAAAATACAGTAATCCTGTGTGATTGGAGTGTAGTTCTTTTGCACACTTTTTCTTATGCAACACTTGAAAGCCACAAGTTTTTGAAATACGCCTAGTGAATTTTAGGGAGACAGAGAGACTTTCCTGCCAAGAAAGTGTTAAATACAATTGTTTGCGGGGGGGGGGGGGGGGGGGTTGTTTTGTGATTTGCCACAATTAATCCTGCACCTATGTCTCCCTTCTCCCCTTTACTTTATATAGGGGACCTCTGAAGAATTTATTTTTTCTATTCGCTCAGTTATTTTATTCCAGGTGTTAGATCCCCGAAAGTCCCTCAGCAGCTCTGAGGCTTTTCACTGCTGCAAGTTAGTGCTAGCAACAGGGCAAAACTTGTTTAAACAATATGGAGTAAGATGCTTGAGGTTTAATTTTTTGCAGTTTAGCAGTTGTTACATAATTCTTTACTAGTTTTTTAACCTTTGGGGCCACCCAGAGGTCAAGTTCAGGTAGGATTGCCGCAAGTCTGACCATTCTCTGATAGAGTATATAAAACAGTATGTTAAGGATTATAATTTTAAGTCTCCTGTCTACCCTCTGGTTGTCATTTGAAGATGCATCTCAAATGTGCTTGGCACCTAGGAGGAAAAGAAGAACAGCAAGATTGATAGGGTAAAATCGCACTGTGTTGGCGCACAGGTTGAGCTTGCATGGAAGGAAGCCAAGAACAAGAGTACAAGGATGTTTGTAATAGTTCAGGAGTCAATTAAGTGTCATATGACAGTGATTTATGTATTTGTGAATGAATGAGTAGAACTGTCCAAGGGAAGGAAAAAATAATAGCTTAGTAATAGTAAACTAAAACTTTACAGTGGCAGAAGACCTCTGTTGTTTGTTTTCTGATAGAAAAAAAGTCAAGCCTGTAACTACATTCAGAAGTATAAAAATCAGTAAACCGATTTAGGTCTACTTTTTTTGTAGTAGTAGAGATGGGAGAAATGAAATCACTGAGTCTGGGCTGGTTTTATTGATTTTAGGTGACTTTAAATGAAGTGTCATGTGGCTAAATCTTTCACTACCAATTAAGATTATCCTAAGGGATATTGTATTCTCTCTCTGGGGCTGCCAGTCCAGTGACTCCCCATCCACAAACACCAAATTAAGTTTTTAAACGAGTATTGATTTGGAAGAGGGAAAGACTGCGTAGATTTGTGGAAGGGTATTTATGGGTTTAGTGTTGAATTATTGAAGGTGACATAGCTGGTTCTGTAGGACATTTAGGCAATGCAAAACACAAAAAGATTTTTGGATATTAAGAAAATAGGATACCATGACTTATCAACAGTTAACTGTTTGCGATTTAGCACCTTTACTGATACCAAATTCTGTGACTTTCTGATACTACCTGATGATAGGATTATATAAATGAAGTGATATTTATTGTTTGTACTGGGATCCTGGTCATAGACAAAGATGCCATTGTGTTAGATACTCTACAGACACAAAGCAAAGGCATATCATTGCTTCTAGATGCTTGATATCAACTCTTATATTTAAGGGAAAAGTTTTGCCAAAAGCTTATTGGTTCCATGGTACTCCTTGAATGATATGTTCTGAAAGGAATATTTAAGTGAGCTTTAAGACTCCGATTTTAATGGCACAGTGCAATAGAAGGCTTGACTTCAAAAGCCCAGGATGGTGTCTTTTTTATGTGATCTTAAGTGTAAAGCAAGGTCGGTCATTCTTGAAATGAAGAAAAGCTGCAAGTCTGGCAGCGGTGACACATTTGCCCTCACTGTGAACACTGTTCAGTAATGAGCCTCGCCATGTGCTCAGTCCAGCTGAGCCAGACTTGTAGGTGTGCTTGGAACGCTTTGTGGAAAAGCAGTCTGCAAACTTGAAGAACTTGTCTCTTTTTTTACATTTGAAGACTGTGACAATTTTAGGGAGCAGCCCCTAGTCAGGAGTTCAGATTGTGTGCGTGTATGGTAGTAGAACTAAAATTAAACTAAACTATGCTTCCTTTGGTTTATAATAGAGACGGCAATATTTATCCAAATGAAGACTGTTTGGGCAAGTTGCCCGCGTTTCTTTAAAATTGAGAATATTGTAGCTGCCTTTCTCTTCAATGCAGAATTGTGGCCCTCAGAAACCAGTGGTTCCATCATGCCGTGACTGATCTGCTTTGATTAGGTATTGGCAGACAGCAATCTACTTCAGTGTATGTGCCCTTGGCTGCGTAGGTCAACATGGACAATAGCATTCTGGGAAACGGGCAGTAGTCTGTATTGTGTTCATGTGCGGTTGTGACAGGAATAAAAGGCATTTTCACGCATAAAATATGTTTGTTACCTAGAAACAGATCTGTTGAGTAAGCATAATGGTCCATTACCACGTGATCAATATGGTGACTGTGGGCTCTGTGGCAGAGCTCTAGAGTGAAGTGTGAACTTTGCCCACTCTGGATTTATGGCTTGCGTACT